TTCGTATTACTAGAAATTCTTCTTGCTATCCTGACTCTGAAGTACACTCAGTTGAAGCACAACTTACTGCATGTGACAGAATTTTCAAACTCTATATAGCTCACAGTAACATCATGATTTATGTTTAAGCAGCTTAGCAGAGGCACTATGAAATCCACTTACCTTTTTTCTTCCTCACAGGGTTTGATATATGGTGGTGAAAAGCCCCATATCCAGACTGTAGTTTCAGTATGAACTATACACATGTTCAGCTTCACATTTGCTTTCGATATTCTCAGTCTCTGCCTTTATGCAAGATGTTTGAATTCTCATGATAAGGATTTTGACATCATTCTTTAAAATTGCTAAAAGAAAATAATTAAGTTGTATGTCTTACACGAAACCTGCATATCTTCTGAGGGAAAAAAGCAGGTAAGTTTATAACAAGAAAAATTAAAACTCGACATTAATCGCTGTCATAAGGGAGGTCCTCACACATCTTCCTGGGTGGTGAACGCTCAACAGATCTGTGTGGCTTACCTCTAAGATCAGTCCTCCAGAAATTAAAATTCTTCTGTTTGACCCCCTAAATATATCACTTATCCTAGAAATTAATCTGGAAGAAAGCTATAAATATTGTTAAGTGCGCTTAAATTGTCTGTTTCAAAGAAATAATCCTCTTTATAGCTATAAATATGATTGAAGTGCTATCACTCACACGATCTCTCCAAATAGGAAGATGTTAAAATTAGTCCAACTTCCAGATAATTTCTGTAACTACCACATCTCACTGAAGCTGGTCAAGAACAGTAGTATTTCTGATTAATTATCCAGAATTGGCAAGTGTCTTAATTCAGAAGCAGAATTTGTTTTAAAATTTAGATATTAACAGAAAATTATATCTTACCACAGTCAAAACAAGGCTTTTATTTCTTTTGAAAAGTATAGTCAAAATACACGTTTACAGGAAAAAAAATACTGATTCTCAGTTTCATTTCTTTGATCTGCAAGAAATCTGACTTGGCAGAAGGTTGCAAGAGAACAGATCTACACTAATGTAAGAAGACATTATCAATATGAATGATAATCTTCAACCTAAGAGCCCAAAAAATGTTACAGCTTGAGTACTTTGAACCATTTTAAGCGATTGTAGAAAGGGATTAATCTTTTTCCTTTGCTTAATCTCACAAGAAGTGCTTTATTTCCCTATCTATACCCAGAACTGTCTCAGTGTTGTCATACTGGGTTGAATATCTACTTACTTACATGGAGACAAGTTATCTTCTACATTTAATCTGTTTTCTTGAACACATCAACTGTAACACTGCTCTATACACCAGTAGCTACCAGTATTTTAGGATGAACCACATAATAGTTTCTACAAGGGGGCAATGTTTTTCAAAATGCTGTTGTAGGCCACTGTCCAGTTTGGGAACTCGTGTTGAGAAAGTCAAATAATAAACCAGCTGTGAGCCCAAGATACACAATTTCTAAGCAGTAGTAGACATCTCAACCTGAAGAGTTATGTCTACACTGATTATTCAGAAGCAAAACATGAGTAGTGAAAGGGTTCATCAGTATTTCAACTGTCACGTTATCTGAGCATGAAAGCACCATTCTATCTGGTGTGACTCCAGCACAGGCACACTCTACCTAGAAGTAGACTACTGTTTTCAAAGCAGAATTTCACGTCCACCCTGAAATCCTTTCCTGAAGTCAAAGCAGAAAACATAAAAAGGCAGCAGATGTTTCTTGGCACTCTTTACCAGGAAAGCCTTTTCACTTGTTTCTGACAATACGCAGGAAATATGCAGCACACGCTTTCAGCTAAGAAACAAAACAGACTATTACAGGCTTTATTGTATTTATGATTTGTAACTCCAGAAAAAGTATCAATCACTATAGAACAAGCAGCAAGACAAGGACCCATTTGGCACATGCTGATGCTGAATTCTCTTAAGTATATTCCTGGTGACCACAGCTCATGCTTGATGTGTCAGCAAGATTTAAGGCTAACTAGTTTCTAAGTGTTCATGAGCTTCCAGCACAGAATCATAAAATGGTTTGGGTTGGAAGGGACCTTTAAAGGTTATCTGGTCCACCCCCAGCATAGTAGAAGCTGACTAGAGAAGTTCAACAACAACAAAAAAATCTAACTTAAGCCAGGTCTAACAATAGCACTACACATATTCAGAAGTTCTGAAAGCTCACACTAGAGATGCATTTGTAATATCATTCATATAATCAAGGTAGTAAAACAATTCTGATGCCTTTTAAGTGACTTTAGTGCAGAAAATTGAGATCTCTGAAGACTCAGCTGAGGATGTTGAATGTTTGCTTACAAGGTAGAATACTGTATTATAACATGACTGGAAAGTTCAAGTTTTCTTCAAAAACCTGCAGAGAACTCTGGACTACCACTCCACAGCTAACAGCCAAATGAGTAAACTATTTCAATCAAACTGCAAGCGCTGTTACAGCAGAGAACTTTGTGGAAGAAAAGTAATTAATTGTTTTACCTGCGAATATTTTATCAAAGACAGCACAAGAGACAAGTATGAAATAATATACTGGAAGTTCCGTTTCTTAAAGTTCCTGCAAGTATTGATCAAAGCCAAGTATTTTAAGTCAGGATTATCTTGAATTTCACTGCTAGTTTTCTTCACTGGGTGGTACTGGACATACAAATCCAGTTGGTGAGTTCACACAGTAGACTTCTAAAACATCTCATTTTAAAGGCACAGTACAGTTAGAAAAGTCAAGTTTCCATCACATGAAGAGTTGATTAGAGATGAATTCTTGAGTGCATATTCATTACAAATTACATTAGCGCATACAAAATCTTTTAAAACTTGTCAAACAGTTCACTGAACTCCTGAGAAACTTCAGCGAGGATGTAGCAGGTGAAGAATAATTCTTCTTATAAATGGTGACAGTTATTTACTACTTATACAACAGAGTGACAGCAGATATCTGAAACAACTTTTGAACTCTCATGCAGAAACCTGGTTCTTGCTAGCTACAACTAGCAATGGGCTGGTTGTAAATCTGCTTAACAACTGGATTAAACAAGTGGTACTTACTGAATCATCCAATTAAAAAGAGACAAAGCCACCAATTCAAAGGCAGATTGTTGTATTTCTGCACATAGACTATTTAAAGAAGAAACAGGACTGGACTGGGAAGCACCTGGAAATGAAGAAATGCCTAGAACCTGCTAGGTACGTAGCAACATACACCTAGGGTCTGGCCAGACATCTCGGCCAGTGACCCCTAAGCCTGCAAGAAACATGCAAGCAGCTACAAGGCATGAAACCAACATCCTCCTGCTAATCTTCCCCAGACAAGCAGCGATCTCCCAGTGATAAGTTAAGACCGAATGGATACAGCTCTGCAGAACTGGGTATTGGAGCCCATTCTTACACCCAGAAAGATTAACAAACAAAACTGCACAAGACACAGCCGAAGAAGGAAGTAGTAATTACCATTGGTTAAAGCTGAAGATAAAATATGAATAAAACCCACAACACCGAGAACACTGAGCAGTTAACTTGGTTTAAATTAGCTTATGGAAGTTCTCCACCAGAGTATACTTGTTTGGATGTCCTAACCTCTTGATGTCCTCTGGATGAAGCTTCCAGACAGTCAACATCAGGTTCCACCTTCCATTTGAGTTACTTGAACTATTTATAATTCCTTGCAAGTTTCCCCAATGGTCATACTTAAATAGTGTTCAGCTAATTCTAGTCAAAGGGAGCTCAGACTGCCAGTCAAGTTTCAGTATCTGCTATCAGTGTTTGAATACATATCTGTCCTTTCAAATGTCTCATGCGTAGCAAACAGATTGATTGCTATTAGTTGAACAGACTTGACTACCTATTTGCAGCTTATGATCAAGCTACAACAACAGACATTCTTCCAGGTTGCCACAGAAACATGGATATTATTGAAGCAGTTGGCACAGAAGGCTTGTTAAAATATTTCAGTTTTGTTTGTTCCTGTAAGAGTCCAAACATCAGTCCCCTGTGTTCATGCACTAAGCAACTCACCTAAGCCTTCCTGAAATACTGAAACTGAATTAAAATTCAGTTTCTGAGAGCCTGCTGTTCTGAATTACTGCAGGAAGAGGCAGACTGTTTTTGAAATAACTGAACAGAAACTTGTCAGTTTTAAGAGTCTGCAAACATGTAAGCAAGACATTAGTAATTCCCCTACATTTCAACAATTATTTAACAATTAGTCTTATGAAAAGATTACCCAAGTTACATGTCCATGTGCTTGCACTGAGTGTAATTCTCCTCCAGTAGCATTAGAAGTTTAAAAACCTGTACTTGTAAACATTTTTTCTTTCAGAGTCTGTCAAACGATATCAGAAGATATTCTTCAGTCTTAGAAATATAGCTCAGTAACTATACAGCTAAAATAACATTACTTTACAAAGACAACATGAATGATAAAAATATTTAGGAACGGTGTTTATATAAACATATTGGCTTGTAAACAAGTTGACAACATTTACATTAAATATTGAAAGAAAACTTCACATTAGACAATTTGCATTATAGAGAAAAATAAGTTAAAAATTAATCACATTAATTATTCCATTAGTTATAAGTCAGGCACCTGGCAGTTTCAGAACTGAACTGTTCTAAAAGACTAACAATGCTGAATATTGTCATTTACACTAACGATTTCCTTTGATAGAGCAAAAGCCACCTCATAGTTGCCTGAGGATTCCCACAGTAACTCAGTGGATAACAGCACAACAGTGACTGATTCTTCAGACTGGGAGCTCACCACTGAAGTAGATGTTTTCGGCATATTTTAAGGACAGTTTCTTGTTAGCTATAGTATTATACGGGAATTCCAGAAATGCCAGCAAAACTAATGCAAAAGTTAAGTCACATTTCTCCGAAAGTGTAAACCTCATCCAAATCTTTCTAGCAATGTTTACACTGGCTATTTTGCAGGATTTCGGCTAGTTTTATTTATAAGCTTAAATAAAAAAGTCTTACAAGTTAGGCATGAAAGTATTTAAGAAAACCTAAGTTAACAGAAAAGCATTATGAATTATGAAATAGTTACAATAGTTTATTAAATTATACATCAGAAAGTTACATACATTTAATCATAAAACAGTATTTTCTATATATTATTCAAAGCCAGCTTCAATATTTGTTCTAACAGTGGCACTCAAGAAGTGATATTCAGTTCTTTACCCCTTTAAGTGAGTACACTTATTTCCTGTTTTCACAGGTGCAAGGCTGCTTATTTGGATACCAATTCCAAACGGGTACGATTTTCAACATAACTTTAAATTGCATTTTTTTATCTTGAAGGCAAAAGGCTACCAACGGTAATAAACAGACAGTTCATCATCACTCATGTCTGACTCATCTTCATCCACTTCACCTTCAATGACTGATTTCTTGCCTTTGCAGCATGAAACAATTAATCCAATTAAAAAGACCTGTAAATTAAAAATAAGTAGTAGAAGTTACCATTATTCAATTAAGGGGCATACAAGAGCAATATATGTAAAACTGAGTGGCAGTGTGGTGATGCAAATGATTCAATAACAACTACAGTAAATTATCCAACTTGATTCAGCAAGCTCTACAACCAAAGTACTTACTGCAATGAATGCCCAGTTCCCGAAGTAATAGGCAGCACTGAAGAACCAAAATTTATGAAGAAAGAGGTACGTCCGAGTAACAATACACTGATCTAAAAGGAAAACGAGTAGTACCAATTAACACAGAACAAAGAAAAAAAATCACCTAATTCCAATTTATAGCATAGTAATTCAACAGTTTTGGAGAGTATTCTGCTCTGAATTGTCATGTCCATGAGCGCTGGGCATTTTTTTAAGAACCATCTTTCAGAAGCATAGGAGCAGGCACTTCCACTGTGTCAGAAGTCAAGCAAGCAGGGCAGAAGATCAGCTTGGCTGAACAGGGAACTCATCAGGGACCTCAAGAGGAAAAAGACATTATATGATCTCTGGAAGCAAGGTCAGGCTTCACACAAAGATTACAAAGCTGTGGTTCGTATATGCAGGGAGAAGACATGAAAAGCCAAAGCTCAGAGTTGAAACTGGCCAGTGCTGTCAGACAACAAGAAATGCTTTTATTAAAGTATGTTAATAGCAAGAGATCTAAAGAAAACTCAGACCAATACTTGTTGAAGATGCTCATGTGACTAACAGGGATGAAGAAAAAGCAGAGGCATTCAATGCTTTTTTTGCTTGTCTTTAATACTGATAGACTTTGAGCTGCCTGGTCCCCTGTTGGAGGGCCATGAGTGTGGGAACAGTGACTTTCCATTTGTGGACACTGAAATTGTAACGGACCAGCTGTATCAGTTGAATGCTTACATTCAGGGGGATTCATCCCAGAGTACCGAAAGAGCTATCAGATGTTATGGTAGGATCCCTCTTGATTAACTACCAAAGGTCCTGGGAAGATCACGAGGCCCTCTGATGACTGCAAGCCAGCCAATGTTATTCCAATTTACAAAAAGAGCGTGAGGGAAGACTCGGGGAACTACAGACCTGTTCATCTAACCTCAGTTGTGGAACAATTATGGAGAAGATCACACTGGGTACTATTGAAGTGCATTTAAAGAATAATGCAGTCATCAGGCACAGCCATCATGGGTTCACAAACAAAAAGTTGTTTCACTAATTTGATACCCTTCTATGGTAAGGTCACCTGCCTAGTGGATGAAGGGAAGGCTGTGGATGTAGTTTTTCTGGATTTTACGACGGCTTTTGATACTGTCACTCACAGCATCCTTCTGGATGAGTTGTCCAGCTGTGGGATGAGCAGGTTCATGGTGCACTGGGTGAAGAACTGGCTGAAGCGAAGAGCTCAAAGGGTTGTAGTGAATGGGGCTACATTTGGCTGGCGAGTAGTCACGAGTGGTGTTCCCAGGGTTCAATTCTAGGACCAGTCCTGTTTAATATATTTATCAACAATCTGGATGCAGGAGTTGAACGCACCATTAGCAAGTCTGCTGATGACATCAAACTGTGAGGTGCTGTTGACTCTTGAGGGAGTCTGGCTGCCAAGAAAGCCAATGGGATCCAGGGGTGCATGAAGAGGAGTGTGGCCAGTAGGTCGCGGGAGGTTCTCCTTCCCTTTTACACTGCCCTAGTGAGGTCCCATCTGGAGTAGTATGTCTAGTTCTGCACTCCCCAGTTAAAGAAAGATGAGGACCTACTGGAGAGTGTCCAGCAGAGGGCTGCGATGATGGTGAGGGGACTGGAGCATCTCTCCTACGAGGAAAGGCTGAGGGAGCTGGGCTTGTTTAGCCTGAAGAAGAGAAGGCTGAGAGGGGACCTAATAAATGTTTATAAATATCTCAAGGGTGGGTGTCAGGAGGATGGGGCCAAGCTCTTTTCAGTGGTGCACAGCGACAGGACAAGGGGCAACGGGCACAAACTGAAGCATAGGAAGTTTCGTCTGAACATGAGGAAGAAC